CCTCCTCCTCTTTGATTAATAAAGAAAACAAACAGGTCCTAGAAAAGATAGGAATTGAAGAAAGTGAACTCTTAAAGAGACAATTACTTAAAAGTAAGACTGGAAAACCACCCAGAACTAAATATTCCCCAGAATTATTAAGATGTTTTGCCCTAACACTTAATTATTACTCAACAAAAGCCTATCGCTATGTACGTAAAACTTTTGAAACATGTTTGCCTGCACCACGAACAATGACCAGGGTTTACTCAAGAAGCGCTAACGGCATTAAAATTGAGAGCGGAGAGTAACCCTGATAAAATTTTTTATTGTACCTTGGTCATGGATGAAATAAAAATTAAGTAATTGACGGAATACCATGCTAGCAGCCAAAAGCATTATAGCTATGTCGATTACGGGTTTGATTTTATATCCGACAATTCTGATGAAGCTACTGACGCATTAGTTTTTTTATTGGTCGGTATAAACACAACATGGAAAGTACCCACAGCCAACTTTTTGATTAAGGGTACGACCGCTGAATTAAAAGCACGGCTAGTAACACAAGCTTTCTATCTTGTTCATGAAACTGGCATCGAAATAAAGGCGTCGACATGTGATGGCACAAAAACGAACCTCGCCATGGCGGAAGAGTTGGGCTGCTCCTTGAACCCAGATCGACTGCAAACTACTATCTTAGATCCAGCTTCAGGGCAACAAATATATTTTCTTCTTGATCCTTGCCATATGCTTAAATTAGTACACAATTATATGTATTTTCTATTATCAGAAGCCACGGTGGTTATTCTGACAATCCAACTGCACGTCAATTTCAAGCTATTTATAAAAAGCTGTTAGTGCACACTGAATTGATCCGAAATGAAAGAGGTACTAATTGCATTCCTTTAGATAAAATTTCAATTTTAAATTGTACATCAGCAATTGACAAAATCAATAGCACTTCTCGACAAAGAAAAACGGAGTCGGAGGATGTTGCAGTACTTGTCACAGATAACATAAACACTGAAAAAAGTATGATGGATGAAATAGAAACCTACATATTTATCCCCTTTTTGGCGAAAAAAGTGGTGGAATACATTGCAGGGTTTGTCGTTTTCTCAAGCTTAAAAAAAATTAAATGTGAAACATGCACTAAAGCCCTCTTAGGTCAGACTAATGTAAAAAGTCTGACTTATCAAAAATCTAGGGGAGGCTTAATGTACGCATCCCAAGAAGTTATTGATTTATGTCGCCGGTGCGAGATAGAAATTCGGAAAAATTTTACTGCTGACAAAAAATTAAGCCGTCTGTGTACTACACAATATATTGTTTCAAAAACACTAAACCACTTTATTGGTAAACCATTGTTTTCAAGCATAGGGGAACATTATTTTGATAATGAATATGTTACGCATAATATAGAATTAGCGAAAGTTGTGATAGAGAAGTATAGTAATATCAGAATCCATTATCTGTCTAAAAGAAATGACCCGGAAAAATGTATCCGTCATATTTATACTAAACTTATCCACTTTAAAAACCAGTAGGTTACTAGCTATTACACGCCATGTAGTTTAATATGCAATATTACGTTCAATGTAAATAAAAAATACAAACACAAAATGTGATACAAAATTATCAAAAATAAAACAAAGTGAAAAAGTATTATTTTAAAAGTCAAAAGCGTTATGGTTTTATTGGCTTTTGGAGTGAATAAGTTTAGTACATATTTGACATATGTACCAACTAATTCTAGTGCTTGCATATTTTTCTATTACCAGGTTTGCCAATTCAATGTTATGTGGACCTGGAAATGTTCCTGTATACTTAAAAATTTCGGCCTTCCAACAAAAAGTTTAAATATTTGTTAATATTTTTAATAAATATTGACTGCTTAAAATTTTTGTCAGGAGTTAAGTTTTTTCTAATATCTATTTCACAAAGGCGACACAAATTAATCACCTCTTTAGATGCAAACAATAAGCCACCTCTACTTGTCTGATTAATTTAACTATTTTTGTCCGGTGCACCCAGAAGAGGTTTTATGCATGTGCTACACTTATTTTTATTATAGTAAAAACAGCAAAGCCCGCTATATATTCAACCACTTTTTTTGCTAATAAGTGACAAATAGGTGTAAGTCTTTATGTCTGCTACCATATTTTCTTCAGTTGTTCACACTAACAGTTTGTGCTTATTTCAGTTCTGATCAATTTGATAAGTATTAGCAATTCTTTTATAAATAGCTTCAAACTGACGTGCGAAGGGATTATCATAATGACCACCGTGACTTTTGATGTTTGAAAATAAAATTTCTATATGGTCTTGACTAATTTCGTGTAGTGATAAATAAGTAAGTGAAGCGTTTGGGCCTAATGCCACATTGTCAAATGTGCGTTTAGTACTTTCAATGCACACAAGAAATCCTAAAAATCCTATGTAACGAGGACCGTTTAAAAATCATCTGTATACGTTATTACGAGAAATGACATTGATTTCTATGTATAATAGAACATCTTTAGCCTCATCCAACCTGGCAAAGCTACCTTTGATAGTTATTACTATTTAATGCTCGTTGAAATCTTTTAGACCAAGTTTTTGAGTCGACAATATCGAAAATATCATTGATTAATTTTAAAAAATTAGCTATGAGCGCAGCGTTTTTAAATAAAGATAAATTTAGTACAGTTTGGATAAAATATTCATAAAACTCAAAAGCATTACGCAACAGTTTCAGCATATGGCAGGTATCTAGAAAAAAAGTTTGTGTCTTTCACGTGGATCTAATATAGTAGTCCGTAAATTTTCTGTATTCTAGCAACAGCCTAACTTTTAATCCGTAGATTTCATGAACTATGTGTAAAGCTTGAGTCACCAGTCGTGCTTTTAGGTCAGCACTTGTACCCTTTACTAAGAAGTAACCAATGGGTACTTTACAAGAAGTATTAACGCCCATTAATAAAAATGCTAAAGCATCAGTAGCGTTCTCCGAATTGTCAGAAATGAAGTCAAATCCATAATTAACATAACCAAAATGTCTTTTAGAACTTGCATAGTAATCCATCAATTGTTTTATTTTCATTTCATCTATCATATAGCATTACAATACAATTTCTTGTCAGGATTACTCTCTAGTCTTAGTTTTAAAACAGTTAACGCTTTTTTGTGTACCCAAGTTAGCCATTTATTGTACTATACCACTTTGTTAATAGTACCTGATGAAGGCAGACAAATTTCAAAACTTTTGATATTTCGCACATATCGTTAAGCTTTCGGTGAATAGAATGTAAAGTTAAAGCAAAACATCTTTCTCGAGAATACTTAGCCCTAGGTATATGTCAAGTTTTATTTTTAAGCAGCTGTCTGTTTAAAGTTCACTTTGTTTAACTATTATATTTTGTAAAACTTCTTTAATTTTCTAATTTATTAAATATTTTCCAGATAGTTCACTTAATAACTCTTGAAAATCAACGACTTTTTTTAAATAGCGGTTTTGTGATTGAAGCCAACAAAAACATGGTTAACACCATCTAAGACGATAAACTGATACGACTTTTCTTTTTACAAATCTGATTTTTAATATAAGTTAGCTAAATCTCCCATTTCGATTTGTTACATGTTTTAAGTTTTATCCTGCATAATTTAAAATAAACCTGTAGCAAAATAATAAACTTACTTTTAACAATTTCGAAGTTTTTTTCCGGATATCATTTTTAAATATTAAAAAAAAAGAATTTCAAATAACACCTTGGCATTATTTATCTGCGTATTACTTATAATCAAATAAAAACATATGCAGACTATGGTGATTTGTTTATCGATAAAAAATATCGACATAGTCCACGGCGTACGTTGCTTACGCATTTGAAAAGCGTCACCAGTGTGTCGACACGTGTACAATTTGGTGGTATGCGTAAATTCAATGAACACAAACACAAATGTTGTAGTGTGCGTTTATATTGACGCGGTTTAATTTTGCGTTTGTAGTTATGTATACAGTTGTGTGTTTATCTTGCGCCCCCCTGACGTTGACAGAATTTTTGTTTAGGAATTAACGCGCATGGCCTCTCCGGTTGGTTGAATACTCAAAGATCGCGGACAAACAACGTGACACGTAATTTATATATATTAAGATATAAAGAACAAAAATTTGGAATAATTTTATATAAAAAAAGTTTAAATATCAGAAGTATAAACTTGTAGAGAAACTAAATAACTATGTGTTTATTAGATGGAATATTTCCAAATATAAAAATTGGTTAAGTCAAATTCATATACAAACTGAATATGAAGAAATTGAAAAACTCTCACGCTTTTAAAATGCCTCACGCATTTAAATTTACCTCAAAAAAAAGTAGATAATCATAAAGTAATCATTAAAATATACTAAATAATTTCAGTTTTCATATGGAGATAAAATATATTTAAGTGTACCATTTTGAAGATACTGCATATACTATTTGCATTTCAACCACCCCTCGTTCTTAGACAGTTATATTTTAGCTTAAAAATAATAAATTTATGCTACATGTTTTATGATAATCTAACAAGTAATATATTAAGATATAAAGAACAAAAATTTGGAATAATTTTATGTGAAAAAAAGTTTAAATATCAGAAGTATAAACTTGTAGAGAAACTAAATAACTATGTGTTTATTAGATGGAATATTTCCAAATAAAAAAATTGGTTAAGTCAAATTCATATATAAACTGAATATGAAGAAATTGAAAAACTCACGCTTTTAAAATGCCTCACGCATTAAAATTTACCTCAAAAAAAGTAGATAATCATAAAGTAATCATTAAAATATACTAAATAATTTCAATTTTCATATGGAGATAAAATATATTTAAGTGTACCATTTTGAAGATACTGCATATACTATTTGCATTTCAACCACCCCTCGTTCTTAGACAGTTATATTTTAGCTTAAAAATAATCAATTTATGCTACATGTTTTATGATAATCTAACAAGTAATATATAAACATCTACTTGCTACCCTATATACACAAATATTTATGAATCATCAAGTTTCTCTATAACTGCTGCTGTCTTTAAATCTTCTGTGTTTTTTAAGCTATCATCGCTGTTATTTTTTTCTAAAGCTTCAACAATTTCACTTGCTTTAGAATCTTGAACTGTTCCATCACAATGAATTTGATTCACACTCTCATTGATATCATCATCTTCTTTATCTTTATTATTATCGTCTTCATGTGTGGAAGGCACTTCTGAATTACCTTTTACTTCTTTTATCTTGGTTGGACATTCGGGTTCATTAACATTGGTATCCAGTTCATTTTTACTTTCTTCATTCTCCTCACCTTTATCGATATTTTGCCTTTTGAGATCTTCATTAAAAGCACTAAAGTTGCTTATTGTTACACCAGTTGAAACATTATTTATTTCATCAGAAGAAACATTATTTATTTCATCAGTAGAAACATTATTTATTTCATCGGTAGAGACATTATTAACTTCATCAGTTACCATGTTGTGACAATCGGTGGCGTTGTTTGAAGCACTATCGTGTTTATCTATTGATTTATCGGAACTAATGTTATGCACACTGGTAACTCCAGTCAAATCAACTTCTTGGTTTTCTTGCACATTTGACTCCACGGAGTTTTCATCAATGAAAATAGGATCATCATTATCTTCCAAGTCAGGCAATATTTCAACGTCATCATCTTCTTCACTGGTGTTATTAGCTATGCCCATTTTCTTGGCAATATATTGTTTCATTTCTTTATTGATATTCTCCCTTACTTCATTGAATCTACTTACTGATGTGTTTAACAATCGATCTAATGTTTTATGTAAATTTCGCATTTCATTTATTGATCGTGTTCTTAAAAACATAGTTGTAGCTTCCTTCTTTAACTTATGAAGCCTTGATAAAGAATATTCTAATGCATCTACAGCATCAATTAGATTGTATCTATACCATTCAACGGGCACATTTAAGTCACATTCTCGCTTCTCCGTTCCTCTATTAAATTTGGCTGTATTTTGAGCACTTCGTTTTGAACTTGTATATTTACCCTTGTTAGTATAAGTTCTCAAAGGGGGCGGCGAAGAGGAGCGTGGTAAAGTAACGGCACTAAGTTTTGCGGCATATGTTGCGCCTTTGGGAGCAGTTTTACCCTGTGTATTTTCAGTAACCGCTACAATCGTTGCGGAATAACCACCTGGCATTGTGGGATTTGCGTTAATGGCAAATATCCGGCCATCCGGTAATCGATACATTTTGTTAGATGACAAAGTCTGAGGATCTACACGGAATTTCAATCCACCCGTAGCAGCATTGACAGTCACATCATTCTCTGTCATCTGCACAATATTATCAGGTGTTAAATCTGGCAAGGTGTTACTAATTCGTGCCGCAACAGGTGGTACAGAATTTACTTTAGGAGCTGCAACAGGTCCTGGGGTGATACACTGAACATCGTCATCCACGTTGTCTTCCATCACCTATTAAACATACATATGTGTTAAAAATATAATTACTGTTAAGACTGCGCCGAGAAAAACAATTCAAAACAGTAGTTAAGTCGATATTATATTAAATATTATTGCGAAAACTTAAATCAAAATAATGTAACAAATACCACACAGAATGTGCTTACATTTATTCTGAAGCTAAAATAAAAAATATGCAAGTAAAGTTGGACAGAAACCCTAAAAATGTTACGCCGGCATTCAAGTAGAATTTGATAATAAATTGTCAATTTCTAAATTCAGATTATTCTCAAATGTCCCAAAAACTAGTCCTTTTTTAAAAAGATATTAAACATTTATGTTTAAGGTGTTGCTAAGAGGTAATTTAAATGTATATACATATTTGCTTTTTTTTTCTAGACGTACACGAAAAATGGAGGTCAAAAATTTCGCGGCATATTAGGATTGGCGGGGGTGACAGTCAACCAGAACAAACCGAGTGACAAATTGAGTGACTCATCATCAGTATATATACAAATTTAAACCTTATCTAGTCATTAAGTTCTGAGACCACTTTGTATCCTTCATTATACAGGAAGAGTCAGAGCTGTAGTAGGCAAAGCACTCGCTCTAAACTTCACAGTACTCGAGTAACACGGGTTTGATTCCCAACGGCAAAAATGAAATTGTTAATTTAAAAATTTTACGAAGGTAGTTTGGGTGTTGGTGGCCAGTGAAGGATTCTCCAAGATTATCGATGCTGGTACCCTCCTGAGTAGATTTTTATTTAACAGGCACTGGATCACTCACTATAAAGACTACTCAATGGTACTACCGTCCCGTCACAAACTGCTGGTTCACGTAAAAACAATGGTTTAATTGTATATCACCAAAACAATGATTTTCTGTTAAAAATACTGTAAAATAAACATTTTTCGACCAAAGCCACCTCAAGGTTGAAAAGTACGTAAATACGCAATTTATGCCCCATAAAAGTACGTAACCTGGCAAACAAACTTTTTCATTAATCTATAATACTTTCAATTTTGTCCAGCTGTGTAGTCGTGTGGGCTCGAATACTGAAGAACAAGAAATGAAAACTATATAATATGATAAAAATCTTGACCATATTGCAGGACTCGAACTCGCGCACTCTGGCATGATAGACCTACGCTCCAACTATTGGGCAAGTAAAGTGTGTTGCATTGTGCGTGAAAACAGGAAGAAAAAGAATTTTCCCAAAATGAGATTTAGCTAGATCGATTTTCGACCTTGTAAACCTATGGAGTGTAGAAGTAAGGAGTACAGACTGTGTATTAAAAAGTGTCCATAGAAAACCGTTAAATAAGGGTGGCGCCACTATAGCTACGGCCTTAATTTTAACGAACGTGCCGAAAAATATTAGTGGGATAGACGACTTTTTCGAGTTATATTTGCTAAATAAAATTATTTTAGATTTTAGAACTGCTGAGCAGTTTAGCAGCACACTTCAAACCGTCGACAACTGCTAAGTTCATTTCATCTCAGTAGCTACTCCAGCGCTGTTGTGGAGAGTTTTTGAACTGTTATTTACTGCTTACAGATGGCCACTTTTTCAACTTTTCTACTATGGGAGTTAGTACTCCTTGATTCTACACTCCATATGTAAACCCCTATCGAAATCGTCAGAGCCGTTTTCGAGAACGCAATTAGAAACAAATATATAAATATTGCTCATATAATATAATCATATTGTTTTTTCAAAAAAAAAAAAATTTTTCAAATCCTAAGTTATCTACTTTTGTTGTGCTAACTGTTACTGACAAAACTTGTAGTGTTCGTGACTGACTACACAACTAGCGAGCTGCAGAAAATTCCTATCTGATGGCCACCTTTTTCGTCCGGTACCATTTTACTATAACCAGTCTCAATAATCTATCCCTTACTGGAAGTTAAAATGTCTACCATTGGTATCTTTAATTACATTTTTCCGTTTCAATAATCAAATATAGATAGAAATATACATTTTTTTAATGGATTGTTCAGTGTTGAAAGTGATAATTAAAAGTATGTGATCGGTATTTTTGATTCTGGAGATATTACAGATACTGAAAATCGCCGTGCGTATCGAATAAATTACAAAAGTGAATCTTACTCTGAATTTACATAATATGGAATTAGATTAAATAAAATGTCCGTGGATGTGATATTATTGAAAATAACACCAGCCTTAAAAGTAATTTCTTCAAGGTGAGTAAAGAAACAAAATTTGGTTACATGGTCGAAATATGCCAATCAACATCCTCAATATATTATATGTACTATGCACTAGATTTCGCTAACTATCAAGGTTAGCTAACTACTTATAACTAATTGTATTAAATTGAGACCAACCGTTAATGAAAACTACAATAGATTACAATAAATTACCTCGCAAAGTGGTTCCAATGGTAAATCCGGTGTGCAAACGACATCATCGTCTAAAGTGTTATTGCTTGACATCGCTGCCACAGCCGCCATATCTAAGCCCTTATAGAAATTTAAATAAATGTGTATTATTATTAAATATCTTCATGTTGGTCACGATCCCATGTTGGTCTAGGACTTATAGGTCACATGTTAATGTGGGACTTGAAACAAAAAATAATGTAGCAAGCATTACTTTTACCTAGCTTGTCGTAAATACGCTTTTAACGACAAGCTAGGCAATAATAATGGGATATTGGGGTTGTGATTATGTAGGCGATGGGCTAGCTATTTATCACCACTACTTTTAATATATTTTTTACATAGAATATGGATGACAAACGAGCACACAGTTCACCTGATGGTAAGTGGATGCTGTGGCCCATAGACATTTATCCTCCATTAAGAAATAGAATGGAGATGCATTGTCACCCCTGAGGACTGAGATGGAATGCCTAGTGTTCAGTAAAAAGGGGTCTCCAGTTCTTTACACTATCCATACGGAATAAAGCAGCGTTAAGCTGCTATTCCATGCTGGTATTCTGTGAGATCATGGTCCTACCCCGGTTTGAGTTGCTTATTCGTGCTACAACCATAATATAGCTGCAGCATGGCTCTACCACATTTAAATTTTCTGTCTATATCCATATTTTTTGGCTAAGAATGGTCCAAGTGGCTCGCTGTCTTTGGACTCTGCCTCCCACTCGGGGATTACAAGCATGATGGGATTATAAGCGTGATATATTATGTATGTATATATCAAAACTACCGTGTGGTGGCGGCTGAAAAGAATCCATCACACCATTTCGTCTTTTGGGTGTAAGAGGTGACTATGGAAAGTCCTATGACATTGGATAGTAGACGTTATACCATCTCACGACATTCTTTAAGGCTGACATAAAAAAGCGTGAACAGAGGCAGCAGCATCGAAGGCTAATAAGATGCAAGAAAGAAATCTGGCACTGTGATCGTCGATCGCCCACCAAGCATCGCAATGAAGGCAAATTTTTACTACAACAAAAGAGGAACATGTCCAGCAGTGGATTTCTTTGGGGCAATGAAGAAGAAGATATATTTTATTTACACGGTGGATTGGTACTGTGATTAGAAAAATAAGGGTTTAAAAATATGTATTATATTATTATAATTTGCAAAATCTATGCCCAAATAGTCAAATGCTACTCAATTTGAAAACGCCATTAAGTCTCGTGCTGTCTTTATCACTTTAAGTCATAGTGACTGTGACACTATGAAGATTTAACAACACCTTAAAATTGAGTAGCGTTTGAGTAATTGGCCACTAGACAAGACATGTGTGATTACACAAGTTTTAGGTACTATAGAAATATTGGCCAAACTAACCTTTTTACCAATATATATATTATATATACTTAGTCAGGTCATAAGTTTTGTCAAAACTTTTTATAAAATTAATGACACTCTCATCACTTTTTGATAATTATATAGAAATTATATATAAAATGCTAACTTAATTTAGAATACAATTTTGTTTACATTACACAAAATGCCCTCCCATATTTTGAATAGATGCCCTTAATCGACGCGGCCAATCATCAATCGCAGCACGCACCACACTCATATCTATTTCTGCCGCTGCTTTAACCAAAAATGCTCAGAGATTCCAAATTCTGATGAGGTTTAGCACAAACTTTCTCCTTCAAATGTTGCCATATCTTATAATCCAGTGGGCTTAAATTTGGACTAGCAGAGGGCCTTTAAGAAGAGTAGAAGACTAGAAGGAGTCTTGATGTCCGATGTCAATTCCATGGGTGGTCAACCAGTTTTGCGTGCTTCGTGCCCTATGAGCTGGTGCAGTGCTATTGGAGTATCCAATGTCTGTTTTTGAACATTGTTTGAGTAAGAGGTTCCACTATGTTTGTTAGGACGGCATTTTGGTACACCTCGGCACTGGTTTTTACACCTTTTTCACAGAAAAACACCTCAGTTAAGCCTGAATATGAGATTCCAAGCCAAACTATGAGTGACGATAGGATAATGTGCTCGTTGAACTCTCGGAATACGCGTGCTGGCTTCTTCACTGCTGAGAGCATACACCTTATCATTTTGTTTATTATAACTTTCTTCATGTTAAAAATTTTTGCATCCGAAAACAAAATTTCGCGGTATTTTTTATTATTATCGCAGTATTATTTTACGCGTATTGCCGTAACAAAGCGAGGGATCTATCCAGTCTAATTTTTATCAAATGCTCGTTTAAAAAATGTCTGGTCTTCTTACGATAACCTCGAAGTTCTAGGTCTTCATTGATCACTCTTTTGACTGTGGTTCTGCTTAGGCGCATCTGAAGAGCTATTTTTTGTTTACGAACAGGATTTCGTTGGATTTGCGCCTTGACTGCTTTGATGATCGCGGGTGTCCTAACTGTACGAGGTCGGCCGGTCCTCTTACGATCTTCGAAGCTTGAATCTATTGATCTTGAATAGTAGGGATATTTTCAATTTTTGTAGAATATTGAAAATCTCTTTTGGCGCGTAAACACAGAGGTGCAACGCGATAACCGCTACTCATCTTCTTTCTTCGAACACTCCATATTTGAAAATTAATGTCTTTTTTATTTTCGGTATGCGCAAACATTATATTTTTAAAATTGGTTAAGTTCATCTAGCCAGTATTCAAATTTTTTAAATAATTAGGTTTTGACAGAGCTTATGACCCGACTATTTATTTATATATATATATTCGCTTATATGATTTTAGACCTGGTTACAAATACTATAAGAAGTTATTTATAAAGACATATATATTACCTGGGTCAGATTATCCAGTGATAAATTGATGTTGTCATTTGCAACCATATTACTGAAGGGGTTTGAATTGTTAAAGCCAGTGTTTGAATTACTAAAGCCAGGGTTTAAATTGTTAAAGCCAGGGTTTAAATTGTTAAAGCCAGGGCTTGAATTGTTAAAGCCATTGTACTGTTGATGTGGAAGAATTGGAATTCCTTGAGGTTTTGGTCTGAATCTAGGAATTGGAAGTGAATTTGGTTTTCTTTCATTTCCAAATCTAATAGCATTCATGATTGGTGGAGGTGTCATCTAAAATAACGAAAAAATAAATTTATATTGTATTATTAATTATATCTCAAAAGAAGATGTTCTTAAGATTTACCCGTATTTTTTTAGGCTGAGCATTGGACAGGCTGACAGGGTTTAAAACATTTGGGCCAGACAATGCAATTGGGTTCTTTAAAAATATTGGTTTTGACTTTAGACTTGGACTTGCAGGTCTTTTCTGTGCTTTTTTTTCTGGCTTGTCATCTGGATTAATAGAGGCAAATTTTTTGACCTGAAATTGTGTTAATACATAAAATTTAGCATAATATCTAATAAAGAAATAAGGGCAGAAATTAGATACAACCTGAATAGCTGGCGATATTTTTGAAATTATCGATGCAGTAGACTTCTTTGTTAAAACTTCAGAATCTTTCTTTTTAATGGAATCTAAGCGTTCTTTTTTCTTTATTTTATTTTTACAACATTCGGAATAATCTAGTGCACAATCCTTTTGATATACATCTTTTAATTCAGGATCTTGAGTGTTGTATGCAATTCTAAAATACAAAGAAATATATAATAATCATAAATTTAATATAAAAAAACATAAGGAGATAGATAGATAAATGGGTAAAGAACACAGGTTGGATTGACAATTAAAAATATCCTGGGGTATTCCCAGTAGTCGTGCCAGTGAGACTACTGGAAATTATCTTCCCAGTGATCTTAGCCATAACCTTCACAGCGTGGTGCATTCCCAATAGTTTTACCAAATAAATTTATAAGTGAGATTACAGGGAATGGTCTTACCAAGTAAGCCTTAAGTAGAAAATTCCCAGTGGTCTTTCTTACGAAGTGTTTAAATTTAATAAAATGATTTAATTAAAGAGCAATATATTCGGAGCGCGCGGCTTTCGGGTTACTATACCACTCACATATTCAAAGATAAATACTTTCACAAATAACCAATGACTATAAAATCCAATTGACTGCGCATACATGGCACTAATGTTCGCTACACATAGATGCTTTGCACCCTATGTAAGACCGCAGTAAGAGTTCATTATTTTAGTACCGACCAAGAGCTAGATCTTTGCGCAAGTAATAATACTACCACTTCTTAAAATATTTCTAAAATCTGCTACATCTTTCCTCAATTACGAATCAAAATGCAAATGGTTGTCATCGTGAGGACTAAGAAGGAATGCCTCATTTCCAGTAAAAAGGGTCTCCGGTTCTCTACACTCACCATACGAAACACAGCAGCATTAAGCTACTATTTGACGCTGGTATTCTGTGAGAGCGTGGTCCTTCCTCGGTTGAGCCGACCCATTCGTGCTACAACTATACTACTAATATAACTGCAGCATGGCTCTACCACGTAAAAATGGGAAGAGGTGCAAGAAGAAAGCCTTACAGAAATTTTGGAGCCAACCAACTACTAATGCGAAAATAAACCAGATATGGTGTTCAATTGTAATAGTTCAATATGTGTATAACATGGGCTGAAGAAAATGGCAAGACAAGGATGTTAAGGTGCTTCGAAACTTCCGACAAGTTTTTTAACAAAAACTACCAGTTGTAAGATAAACATTGTCACAAATAAAAATGTACATACATACATACATATGTAGGTATGTAATATGTAAATACATATCACCTAAAAACTATATACGTAATGGTCTTGATCTTTTATAAACCTGCTGGTCTTTAACAGTGCCGGATTAGTGAGACTACTGTAATCTTCATTTCATGTTTCTACAAATAAAGTCCCTGATGACGAGTAACAAATACAATGTTATCAAATTATAATAAACATTGTAAGCAACTTGTATAACTTGTGACAATTGCAACCAAAAACTATTGGGAAAAAGTCAACTTTCAATTGTGCATCCAGAGTTGTAAAACAGTGTTATAAACTGTTAGCTAATAAGCAAATCTGTTTCAATGTGTGTTAGTTTTATATAGTGCGCCGTGTTGCACGCTTAATGCCCTTAAATTTTTATTTGCATTCACTGTGTAACTCTGATGGAATCTATTGTCCCACCAGATTTACACAATCACACTGCAAGTGTTTTATTTAATACTTCTAAATTAACTTGTGACTGCTTGGTTGATACAGATTTTATTATTATTTAATCAAGAGAGAATTTTTTGTCTTATCTGGCTTAAGGTTTCATGGTGAAGTAATGATATGTAAATTATTTTTCAAGCATATTATGAATAGTATTTCAAATAAAAGCCAACATTCTAACTGTCCTGTACAGTCTGTAGTTGAGAAAATGAACCAGTTTAATATAAATATGGTATACTATTATTTAGGACACCTATGTCATCTACATAGGTGTAGATGACATAGGTGTCCTAGATTACAAAGACCCTAAAGCGACATGTCGCTTCAGCGAACTTTGGTGCCAAAAGTTACAGTCCATATTGCAACAGTTGACAGAATTTACCTGTGTTGACAGTCAAAAAAAAAAAGATACAAAGATGCAAAGGGGAAATTCAGGACAAAATTTGATAAAATCATTACTTGTTTTTTTGATCACAGTAGCGTAAAACAGCCCAGCAGATGGCACGGAGATCCCACAAACACTTAGGATTGCATTTGAAACATTTCCAATCATCGGCTTGTTCGATTTCTTTTATTTTTGGTGTCCCTAAGTTTCTTCTGATACATCTCTAAAATGATAACATAATGTTAAATTACAATAAACCATTAATTCTTGTTGTACATAACTAATCTAAATTTAATTTATATCAAATGAAAATTTACCGCACAAAATACGTGGGGGCAATCAGAACAGCAATAAACTTGACCACCTTGACCACACCATCGACAATAGAGCTCGGAACCATCATCACCTTTCTCGAATTCTCCACTATTATAAAAAGTATGGCATGAATGGCAAACAAGAGTTCGAAGCATGGGGTGTGATCGCATACGGTTTTCATTACGTGCAGCACATCCCAAATGTCGGTCACAAGCAGAACAATGCAACCTCTGAGTTTTAATGGTGTTCAAATCTGAAATTAAAGTATTATAGAGATATAAAAAAAAAAAGAAATTGATTTAACAGATTTTTCTCATCTCTACAATTAGTCTTCATCAATATCAGACCTATATAATAGAGGGGACACCTGACACTGGCAATGCTGATTTGATGAGGCAAAATGCTAGGGAACGCTCATTTTTAAAATATTTTTTTTTTAATTTTTGATTATATTCTCAGTTGAACCAGACTAGCCAAAAAAATATGAGGATCCCATAGGTAAAGTAGTATTGAACTGAAAAATAAGGGGTAAAATGTTTCGAAAGACTACTGCATTTTGGCAAACAATTTTTTTAGATCTGTTTTAAAAATGTCCATAATTGCAGGTGGCAGCACTGTGTGTTGCCGTAAATAGGTTGAAAAGGTTTACAGTGGTGAATGATTCAATAGTTTTTATTCAATATCTTGTTAGCTCAGCATTAACTGGTAATTTTTCTAAGGATACATTTATCTGGTTTAATAAATTTATTTCTCACAAGAATAAAACATTAATTTGTCTGAGAAACACAAGATTGACTTAAAATAGATAAGTATATTTACATCTGAATAGGTGCTGAAGCGATATTATTTGTAAGCACATTGACAATTACTGAAATGTAATTCAAACTAACATAAAATAAACAGGTATTTTTACAATAGGTCTGTGTAATTATTTTTTATGTAATATACCTAAATAAATCACATATTTTTTAATGTAAATGTGAACATGATAATGAGCATGTTATATTTACAAAATTAGTATTCCATTTCAACGGGACTTACAGTGCTTTGGAATAAATATATTTTGCATGATCTAACTTTGTATTTCCTTATAGTCTTAAGTTACATTGAAAACTTAATTCTTTACTTGCCCCACCTTTGGGAATTGAATTATTTCTTAAATTTATTGACTTAAGTTAATGTGAACATGAACATACATTAATAAAAACATTTACTTTAAATACAGAACCTTCTTGTTATTGGAACAGCACATCAGTTATTAAAAATAATCAAAATCGGTTAAAGTTTAATGCATTCCATAGATTTCCAAATCTTTGAATGAATTAAGATTGTCTTTCCTTTTCTTTGAAGTACACAAATGGGAGTCCATTTGTAAGGATTCAATGAGATGATAAGGATGAAATGAGATCAATATCAATATTTTTAACAGTAATAATTTCCACTTAAAACTTACTTGCATATTTCTAGTTTTTATATATCACAATTTAAGAAATTACTATTGTTTTTATACAGTGTGAGTCTTTATAAAGTGCACATATCAAAACCAGTGAAACTAGAGATAATTTCAAAAACTATAAGAAAAAATTATAAAAAATTATTTATTTTTTATGAATACAGTAGATCGTCGATTATCCGAATTAATTGGGGGACATAGTTTAGTTTAGTTTAGTTTGCGACGGGCTGTTTTCCGCAACTCCACGTCTATGCGCGTATTTTGCGTGTGGGCAGGAATAATGTGATTATTCGAGCCATGAGATCTCCCCGAAGAAGCTCAACAGTCCCTTGATGTTGCATGCAACTTCGGGGAGTGATCCCGGCGTGCCGAGATGTTTAGCCCTGTACGTAGCGACCTCCGGACATTTCAGTAGCACGTGGGCCGCCGTTTCTGTTTCGTTGGGGGACATAGGTGTTCGGAAAACCGGTTTGTTCGGATAATCGAACTGTGTAATTGTATGTACCAATATACTGATAAAAACATATTTATAATATGTAATATAAATTTAATTTATGATAGTTGTAATACAAGCTAGAGCAGTGATACGATTATGTACTTTTACTTTACACAAGGTGCCGATAATTCACGACGCGAGGCAAGAGTTTTTCTTGGCAAAGCCTTCTAATTGAGTCCAGTTTCGTTAGAATTGTAAACATTTTAAAACATATTTTTTTTGTTTCAATATGTCGCTTTATTTGATTTTGAAAGAATCAGCTGCTGTAGAACCAGCACACAGTTTTTCTTTTTGTATTTGAAGCTCACTAATGCCATGTCTTGACTTAAACCATTTTAACCAGCCTGTACTTGCTCGAAAGTTCGACGGTCCTCCAAGTTTTTCATTTAATGTTTTGCCTTTTCACGTAGAACGGCATCAGAGATAGGTTCTCCTTGCGATTTTTTTGTGTGAATCACTTGTAAACAGCGTCATCGAGATCGGTGTTCGTGGTGAGCTTCATAGTTTTATGACTTGTCGACCCATTAGTAAAATCATGCCTGGATATAAAATTGGATATGGTCATCTTTTGGTTTTATATCCGTAATTGTCAGCTTAACCACTTTGTACTTACTCTTAGATAACTTGGTTGCAGATTCGCCTTTCTCTAATAGTTTGTTAATCTCCGCGCAGTGTCCTGTGTTAGTAAATACTAGAGTATTTACTAACACAGGACACTGCGCGGAGAAGCGAGAAGGTGGTCGCATCCCAATGAGCTACCGAGGAGCGAGGTAGCAGTTCGGTTAAGCGGTCGTTCGGTTAATCGACGTTCGGATAATCGACGTTCTACTGTATTTTAAAATTTGAAATTGCAGCTGCTAACCCTATTTAAATAAATTGTTATAACTTTTAAACTCATTTTCAAAAAATAAGTTATAATAATTTATTTAAATAGGGTTGGCAGCTGCAATTTCAAATTTTAAAATACAGTAGAACGTCGATTATCCGAACGTCGATTAACCGTATAAATTAAAAAAAAAAATTATAATTTTTCCTTCCATGAAATTATATGTAGTTTCCCTGGTTTTGATATGTGCAGTATATAAAGACTCACACTGTATATTATAAGTTTTCTTTTTACTACTTAAACTAATAATTCTAGTACAAAGGACTGACAATATTTTTTTAATGATAGTATGAGATTTACTCATTAATACACAGTACATAATAACTACATACTATAGAGAGGTAGCTCAGATGGTCAAATTTACAGCACTCGCTGTAAATTTCACAGTACACAAGCAACCCAGGTTTGATCCCCATTGGCAACAATGAAGTTGTTAATTGTAATTTTAAGTACCGATTTACCACATGCTCGGCAGTGAAGGAAAACATTGCTAGGAAACTTGCATGTCTGAGAAGTAAGCAAAAAAATATTTCTAAGATATGTAGGTGCACCACACGCAGCGCGGCAGACATTTCCTTGTACTAAAACCCTCTCAGAAATGAGGGGAGGTCGGTGCCCTGCTATGGGACATATATAGCTGTAACTCAATACATAATAAAATTTTATGGCATATAAATTTTCTAAACAAATATTTTCCTACTTAATTTCCTACCTTTAAATTTATCCTTGTAATGATTCCTTTCTTCTTCGGTAATGTCATCATCAAAATCATTATCATTAGGGTCTGAAAACAAGAGTTTGTTTATTCTTTATAAAAAAATATGTGCAATATATATTGACCTACTAATAAATTTCATTGAGTCCATGAATTATCAAAAATGACAAACTTAACTAAAAAATACTAAGAATTTTTTAAGCATGTTTGTATTCAAAAATATATAAGCATCTAAATGTTCAACAAATTATTTGGTGTTCAACAAATTATTTGGTAATTTTATAGGTAGTAGGAGGATGCTACTTCTGAGTGGTTTATAAAAAAAATAACCACGAAGGAGATGGCGGGGTCTATTCGCTCGCTTTGCTCGCTCACTCAACTCCGCCATCTCCTAAACTAACCTGTCCGAGTCGGGATGCCCTAAGACCCAAGCTCACTTTGTTCGATCTTACCCTCAATAAAACACCAAAATTTTAAATTTTATAATTATTTCGATTTTATAGTGTTTACGATAATATTTAGAGTCAGAAAACCATATATAAACTTTAAGTGAGATAAAAAATTATTAAAACAATCATTTTTCAATTTTTTTTTTAAAATGTCCGTTTTTTTGTGTAGATTAACAAAAATATATATATAAACTTCGTTTATGCTTTGCAAAAAGTTATGAACGATTTTATATTCAAAGAAGTGCATTTACGATCACATTTAAAGTCATAAAATTATATGAAATCTTCAGGTGAGATATTTTTCATATTTTTTTTTAATAAATCCGCCATAAAAACGAAGATTTAAAAAAAATCATCAAAATCAGATGATTTTTCGATTTTCTAGTGCCAAAAAACGAAAGGACCGTGAAAGTATAAAAGTACCAATTATTTCGCATGTTTATCTTTTGTTTTGTTTAGATGATCCACATCAATTAACCCCTCATATGTCGGGATCATTTTGGCCAATATGGTGCATCTGTCGAGCACTTCCCGAAGTACTTCCAGACTACTTCCTGCTGTTCATTAAAATGACTATTTTCAAGACATTTCGTATTAAAGGATGTATTAAAATCATATATCAAAGGAAACTTTATTAAATAAGCTATCAGATTATGTATAACTTGAATACAGGTTTACTTCGAAAGTGATACTAATTTGAAAATGAAAGTAAGAAAAGTGTTTTTCCCCAATTTTCTGCTAAGGTGTAATAATTATAAATTAAAGCCTTTATTCCAAGTACTATTTGTTTTACTTGTACGTCCAAAGCATATTTAATTATAATTTTTTTTAAAAGCAAAAAAAATTTTTCATAAATTTTTTGTTTACGACAAGGTCGAGAAAGGCCTCACTTAGCTCTACTCGACATTGGGACAAAAAATAAGGAGTTTCACAAAAAAAATACATTATTAAATCAAATTTAGACAAAATCAATCATTCAGATATATAAGTTATATATATGTATGTTTTATATATCATATATATGTTACAAATAGTTTGCTATCACTCGACGCCATATTATGGCGTTTGACAGATGCGCATATTATTTGAGACGCCAGAATATGGCGTGTGGACAGACGAAGAGTTAATCACTTACTATTACAAACTTTCAATTTATGTTGATTGCATTTTTCTCCAAAAATACAGTTACATTGAAAAAGAAAGCAGTACAAATACTCTTTCAGGTGAGTTAATGCACATCTCTAATGCTGTTTCAGTTAGATATTACGTCTAATCATCTGTTTTGATGTCAAATTTCAAGTAACTAAGTCACCTAGAAAAGGTATAGGTTTTTGATTAATAAGTCAGTAAATCAATGGGTATGTTCCGAAATACAACGCAGTGTACTGTCCAATGCAAATGACGTATCATTTGACACTTTATTGTACTAGCGTGCCGCCGCCATATTGTGTCGGATATCCGGCCATAATAAAACAATTTTTAATTGTGTGTTTGCCAAATGAAGCATGCCAGAATTTGTTTCTATTTATTCAAATACAAAAAATTATAGAATAATTGATGGTATATTCATTAGGAGGATATAATGATTTTTGGAGCACAAAATGACAAAATAATCGCCAACACTTTTCCAAATGGCTCAAAAGTATGACGTCATATACTGTCCAATGTTTTGAAACGAATCACCTGTATAGCGTCGATTCATGACGTTATTTGCATTGGACAGTACACTGCGTTGTATTTCGGAACATACCCAAAGACTGCTACTGTGTCATCTTTCAGACCTTAATAACTCAACAATGAATCAAGGTTTATTCATGAAATTTAAGACTTTATTACACATGGAAAATTATATGTGTAACAGATTTAAGGAGTTCAAAAATGGTTTAAAAATTCTTTTTGGCGTTTATTTTATTTATCAAATTTTGATTGAATTACGAAATTACAAAACAATATATAGGTAGAACACAAATTTCATAGAATTTAATTAACCCATTACCATTGCAGCCTATCAAAAGTTGACTGCTGAATATGGGCCTCACCATAGATTATCTCACAGTTGGGACTTTCAAAATACTAGATTTCAAAAAGGTGTAGAAAAAGTAAAAGTAAAGTTTTGAATATGTAAATAATATTAGTCATCAATCCTTTATGATGGGTTTCATTTAAAATGTGCTTATGTGTTATAGGTCAGAATGTGGATAGAAACTGCTGTTGGTTATTGTTTTATTTACATAATTCTGACAGTGTATTATAAAAAGTTGTGCATTGCTGTCACTTTATGGCTTATTATCTAAACAGAAAATATTGTCTGTAACAAACTTTACTCGCAAAATATTTAAAGTTAACAAAATACCTCTAAATTATACATAATGTGTGGGAAATGTTATGAACTTGTATCTTGTCCAATTAACTTTTAAGGACTTAATGTATTTCGATCCAAAATTGATCCCAAAATAAACTGTCGACAATGAGGCAACATACCTGGGAAGGGCGGGAATTTAACTTCGACATTATCTTGAACCGGCTTTTCAGACTCTGCAGAAATCTCACTTGCAGATTCGTTCATCATGGAATTGGCTGTTCAAACAATAACAATACACTTCACTGGCTGTATACACTGGTCTATAAGAGTAAATGCGTTATATAGAGAATTTAAATTATATTACAAAACTATAATCACAAAATACTAAATGTGGTTACAAATAAGAAGTTCGGCCATTTTGGCAAGTACAATATACTACATTCGCTACAATAAGTGTTGCCAACAGTTAAACTAGCTCTCCCTCTCCACCAGATTTAACGTTTAAAACCACCAAATCAAATCAAATAATTTATTTGTAAAACATAGGTAAAAATTTACAAACATGGTGGAAAAGGTATGATAAGTAACACTATGTTTCGCCTAAAAAGGCATACAAATATTTGTTTATCATTATCACCTGGCAATATGAAAATTAATTTTTAATAAAAACAATTTCAATTATAATTGGTATGTTTAGAAATTACATTAATTATTATTTTAATTATCAATTACGTAATTCTTTCTCTAATTATAATTGGTATGTTTAGAAATTACATTAATTATTATTTTAATTATCAATTACGTAATTCTTAATTACATAAAGATAAAAATATAATAAATAAATCGGCCATTGATTATTGTAGGTACTAAAAACCATTCATTTTATTTTCAAAATATTCAGCAATTTCTTAAATTTGTCTATATCATCAGTTTCTTTGATGTTTTTGGGAGTTTATCAAAAAATTTCTATAAAAAAAAGGTTTTGTACGTAGTTGGTTCCTATGTCGTTTATTATTAGCGTTTACTTCAAATATATACAAGAATGGTAGGGTCAGAACGTTAAGATCAATGAAATGCGGTTTGCAACTATCGGTAGCCTGCAACTGACATACTGCTCGTAAACATTTCTTTTGTGCTTTAAATACTAATTCGCGTTTTGGGGTGTTTCCCCAAAATATACCTACCAGAAAACCACTAACAATTTTTTTTGTGGATTACGAATGAAAACATTACTAATATACGCAATTGGTTACCTTTACTATTTCATACTGTGTAACTAAATATTAAATATCTATATAAATATGAGTTCTACGTTGAGGGCCGCGGGTTCAAATCCCCTACGGAACAAGTATTTGTATATTATGTATATGTAATTTGCTCCTCCGATACAGGAAAAATTCTAATGTGGAGGTATTCTTTATTAAAAAAAAAGAAATATATTAGCTGGCACCCGGCGCGTCACCCACTGTAAGTTGATTTTACTATGCCTATAACGTTCGCGGAAATGCAAGCAATGAGTTAACAAAGTTTTACCGCAATCTGATGAACGGTATGGCAGCGCATAAAACATGAATAAACAAACATGAGCCGTGAAACAAGAGCCGTCGTAGCTCAAATGGTTAGCGCTAGCTGTAATTTTCACATAACGCGAGCAACCCGGGTTCGATCCTCACCAGCACCAATGAAATTGTTAATTACAATTTTAAGTGCTGATTTACCACGTGCTCGGTGGTGAAGGAAAACATCGTGAGGAAACCTGCATGTCTGAGAAATAAGAAAAAAATCAAAGCCATGTGAAGTTTGCAAACACGCATTGGGACAGCGCGGCGAACATTTCCTTGCACTAAAACCCAGACGTATCAGTATTGTCTCCATAGTTAAAGTCTGACATGAAGAAAAAATATATTTCGAAACGATATAAAAAGTGTAATGGTAGAATAGTAGGTAGCTACCGAACCACTAGAAAAAAAACACCAGCCCTTAAAATCAATATTTTTCCACTAAAAGCGCGGTGTCGAAACCACCAGTTTAAGACGAAAATCTACTAAGTCGGCAACACTTACAGTAAAGTAGCTATTAAGTATGGAGTGTACAGGTAAGGAGTACAGACTCTATAACTCCATGCTATTAAGGTTTATACCCCTATTACACTACCCTGAATCAGGGTGCCTACGCCTTGATTCAGGGTGGTGTAATAAGAGAAAGGGAGTAAGGGTCCCTAATTGGGGCGTCAAAGTGGACTCGATCTGCAGTGCCCTTCCACCGTACAGTGTAATAACACTAAGGGAGTTAGGGCACTTATTCGATGCGTGACTAGGGATGTAAACGATACATCAATTCTTTCAAACATCGATATATCGTTCATAAACATGGTTCTTCATGAGATATATTTTATGAACGATGTTTTGCAGTCAAAGGTTACGAAATAAGCAACTATTCTAAGCTAAAAAATTTTGTACGTTAAAAGTAAGTTCTATTTTCGATGTAAAATTGTAGTTATTTTTATTGTGATAATTAAGTTTACAAATATTGAAAATGGATTGAAACTGTTTTATTCATTTTCTTATTAATAATTATATTGTTTGAGCTTTAACTTGATGAATAGCTTAAGTACAGCCTTATATATAAGTTAATATATAGTTATTTTGTAATGGAAATTATTTTATCAGCTTACGGTACTTCGTACTTCGTTACAATCATTTTTCTGTAATATTGATTTTTATGGATGAACGGTTATTCACCTGTTTGTATTTTGGTATAGTTTCGTAGATGTATGTATTCAGAAAATGCGATAATACTGAAGGTAACATACGGAACTACCATAAAAAATTAACGCACCACATCATAAGAAGTAAAACTAAAGCAGAAGACTAGTTTCATATATTACATGTGGGATATTATGAAAAGGTTATTGCCAGGGCTTCATAGCCTCGATAAGATCTATTTGCCTATCGTGGTAACTTCGGTATCCCGTGAACGGTTATTTTCAGAGGCTGGATCTACAATCACCCAGGAGAGAAACCACTTACTAAACACCAGGTTGTCAAAATTGTTATTTTAAAATTCATTTCGAAAGAAATAAACGTAAAAGTAAAAAAATATTTAATTAATACCGGTTTTCTGATAATTATTCGATAAAATTAAATGTTTAAAAATAAATAGCCTAAAACTTCCTAAAATAACACAATTATAATGTTTGATTATTATACTTCTTTCCTTCATTTCTGTTCAAAATGATTATTTATTCCATATGTATGTTTTATAAATAATATCCAAAAAAAAAATCGATATATCGTACGTAAGCTTCGATTTTTTAATGAGCGATGTTGAATCCTATAGATGTGCTTACTTGGAAAAATTACGACTCGAGTTAACTCAAGTTCAAATTCACACAACTCGAACTAAACTCGAGTTACGCAACTATAGTTAGCAGGATGAAACACAGTAAATGATTTGTTACTATTACTTTAAAAATATCGATTCAATAAATATATATATACTTTTCACTTGTCCATCCCTATCCCTATGACTGAGTAAGGGCGTAAATCAGGGTAGTGTAATAACTGACAACCCTAACTAGGGGCCACGCCCACCCTTCATTCAGGGCCCTGACTCAGGGTGGTGTAATAGGGGCATTAGCTCATCGGTTCAGTCATAGATTATAGAGGTAAGGATGACAATCTCCTATAGGAGAATAGTTGAAAATGTGTCCATCAGTAAGCAGTAAATAACAATTCAAAAACTCCCCACAACAGCGCACGAGTAGCTATGGGGTATAATAAATCGTCGTAAAATACGTTAAGATTGATTTTGAAAGCAATAAAATAGTTATTGCAAAAAGAGTTATGGTGAGTGTGGGCAATAAACAAATTATAAAAAGTTATTTAAAATTTAGACTGTAGCTACAGTGGCGCCATTCTTATATAGCGCTTTGCTACGGACACTTTTTTATAGAGAGTCTGTACTCCTTACCTCTACACTCCATAGTATGAAGTGTAGAAGGAAGGAGTACCGACTCCCATAGGAGAATAGTTGAAAGAGTGTCCATCTGTAAGCAGTAAATAACAGTTCAAAAACTCACCACTACAGCGCTCGAGTAGCTACGGGGTATGTCAAATCGCCGTAAAATACGTTGTGTGATTTCGAAAACAAAAAATTTGAAAACAATAAAATAATTATTGTAAAAAGAATTATGCTGAGTCTGTGCAATAAAAAATTTTAAAAAGAATTTAGACTGTAGCTACAGTAGCGCCACCCTTATTTAACGCTTTCCTACGGACATTTTTTATACAGAGTCTGTACTCCTTACCTCTACACTCCATAGGTTACTTCCATAATTTTTTGTATCTGTAGTGCAACTACTGAACCTTTGGAGTATGGAGTTTTTGAACTGTTATTTACCGCTTACGGATGGAAACATTTTCAACTATTCTCCTATGAGAGATTATCCTCCTTACCTCTATACTCCATGAAAGTAACCAATGGATTTTGCAGTGTGCAACGGATGGCCATAATAATCGATGTTATGAAAAAATATCGATGCGGTGCACAGTGTGACAATGGTTTGTTTTATTTTCCTTGAAGTAAAAAAATACTTCAAAATAATTATTTCATACCCAAATACATACTCAAACGTTGCTCAATTTTAAGATCTCGATATATCTAGTGCTGTAACTATCACTTTAAAGTCATTATTAAAATTATTAAATTTATAATTATTAAAATTCATATTTAATCTCGATTCTTAATCGAGGTTAAATGTAGATGTATATGAGCTACAGCGTGCACTTACCATCAGGTGGACTGTGTGCTCGTTTGTCACCCTTATCCTGTAAAAAGTCTATAACACAGCTTGGTAGACTAGTAGTGAACGCCTTAGGCATTAGGTCCGCCTATATACCACATCATCATCATCATTCATCATCATTACAGCCCTTCACAAGTCCACTACTAAACATGGGCCTCCCCCAAGGTATGCCACAAATCACGGTCATGAGCCACCTGCATGTCTTACCAGGTCGTCACTTCATTTAGTGGGGGGTCGCCCTACACTTCGAAAGGTCGAAGTGGGTCGTCAACAACTTCGAGCTTAGTGCTCCCAACAACTACCGGCATAGATGTGACATGGACATTAAACATGATCTTTGTTTTGGCAATGTTCATCTTAAGACCTATCCGTTGGGAGGCCCTATTGAGGTCATTGAGCATAGTGCTTAAGTCCTCCAGCGATTCTGCCATAAGGACTATATCGTCGGCAAATCGAAGGTGAGTGATG